AGATACTATAGGATTTTTTTTTTAGGTATAGCGATGAAAATGAATGCGGTACAATGTAGAAAGCTGGTAGAGCCTATATATTAATGAAGGAAAATATATACGCTGAAGAAATTATTTATCTTGGGCGAGAACGCGTTCAGAGTTTTAAAATGATTAATGTCATTTTCAATTAAATGTAACTCCCCTTTTTGACCTCGCTAGAAATAAAGCGAAATTTCACTTGCATGTTATTAAATTTATATTCTCTCTTAAAATATTTTTTTGGGGTCTTTTTTACAGCCGCACTCTGTCAAAATGCTTTAACTGGCATGTTTATGATAATACCAAACGACGGTGTCTTATATCACACTCAAATTTATGTTGTTGTCAGACAAAATGGCCCAGAGATATGTGGTAGATTCAACGCAGGTCAAGTGCGTGGGTCGAATTGGGGTTCCAGTGCCATACTAACTCAAATCAATCTAATGTCATGTTATATGGTTATTGAAATCTCCTTCCAAGATTGCAACATTAATTTCTGACCCAGAAAAATCACCAGTTTGTGATGAGAAATACGTGTATTGTTTCTGTCCTCATTATAATTAAGGGCGGAGATATTTAACATATCGTTTAGAGATGAATAAATGTTATAGATTTCGAAGGCATTGCATGACGTGATGATTTCTTGTTATATTAATTCTACAACATTAATAATAATATTAATAATACTATCGGATATTTATAGAGCGCACATAATTTTCCACCATGCTCAGCTCAAGGCGCTCCGAATATTATCCGTCTCTGCTCGGCTGCCGATTTCGGTGCTCACAGCATTCTAGAACTATAAAAACAATTTATTAAACATTTTTCGTGATTTTGTACCATCATATCATATTTTGATTAATTGACAAAGATAGACATAACCTGTATATTATATTAATAAAGAGATTGTGACATTAATTTTTTTCCTTCAAATTCTTTCTTGAAGAAAAAAAATGACAGTATGTATACTCAAATAATAATTATGCGATAGACTAATGGTCATGTAATGAATAAATGATATAGACATTATAATATACTTGTTTTACCCCTGTAAAGTACTTCATACTCCCATCACTCAATCGAATAAAAGCCACTGGGGTGTTTACTATACACTTGTTAGACCAATGAGATTCGAGGCTCACCTTGTATCGCCTGGGTTAGACCAAACTACAAAGTCTGGACCCACGCCAGCTCTTTCTATGATTATCTACGGATAATAGATCCAGTGGCAGACCCAGGATTTTATTTTAAGAAGGGGGGGGGGGGGGTGCACAACTCCGAAACAAATCTGATAAGCAAAGAGAAAGAAAGAACAAAAATAACATCACATTTTCCAGGTGCTAATGGGATTTCAAATTGAAAAGGAGGCACATAATACTTTTATTTATTTATATATATATATTTTTGTTAATTAAATAATTACTTTGTTCATTTGATTGTTTTTGTTTTTTTATTTGTTTATTTCATTTTTTTTAATTGTTATTTTTATTTATTTTATTTATAATTTGTTTATTTAGTATTATTAATATTCTTTTTTTGTTTGGGGGGGGAGGGGATAATGTATACTTAGAGTATACCAGTTACGTTATAAAAGAGGGACACAGGCCAGTTGTGTCCATACATACATCAGTGATAGATCTGTAGTATGATTGTGGGATCGACCAGTCGGAAAGAAACAATTACATTGGTCTCAAATTAGCCATGTCTGTCATTAACCATGATGATTTCAGAGCCATGCAGCACCATGACAAAACCAAAAATAAAAGATCAGGCTCGTGTTTCACCAGGTAAGGAAACAATGTTTCCGATGTTGGACTGGAATCCCCCTTGTACCAATACCATCATTAACTCTCTTCCTCGGTGCATCCCTTTCTCATCTATAATATCACGCGTATCTTGCAGTGGTGGAGAGGGGCACAACCGGCTCTTGTCCCCTTTCGAAATCAAAATGGACATACCTAAATTATACAAAAAATTCCCCCTGAATTGTTTATTTTTTCGGTTATGTGCCCTCTTCTTTCAAAACGAAATCCTGTATTTGCACCTTGTGTCTTGGACAGCACCACTTAAAAATGGCCCATCACCTCTTAAATAATTTCCATTTTGGGGGGTCTAAGATTCAATATAAATTTTATGTGTTTGGCTTACAGAAGATATTTTAGATTTCATTATACAATATTAACAGACTCTCCTGCTGCATATTTCTTTCTTTTCTTCTCCTACTGCATATTATTTCCTAAGAGGAAAAATAAGTGAGTGTGAAAAAACGTATTTCCACTCCTTCAGAATTAAAAAAAGAACGTTCGAAGAATTGTTGCCCTCAACTTAACCCCCCCCCCCCCCCACTGGCCTTTAAACTTATTATCACATTTCCGTCAATGAACTTACACAGCTCCTCGGTTCCTCGGAAATGAAACTAGAGGATGTGGTTTAATGACTGGAGAAAGTACATTGTACTTTTGAAAGGCGATTTAGATTGCATGTAGGTCCTCCTGTTTTGAAAATCACATTGTAACCATCAGCCATGTAATCTAATGTATGCACACACATGTAGCTTTATAACCTTATGGTACTGAAAATGTCACCAATCCCAAAAAAAAATCTCGCAAAAATAAAGAATATCAATGAAAACTTATCAGAACATGACTAGGCCAACAGCACAATAATATACGATAATAGTTTAAACAATACATTAGAAGGGAAGCAAACCAGAGCTGCTTATGATTAAATCGCGATTTTCTCTTATTATATTGACATGAATTTAGTTGCTTATTTTGAGATTTTTCTTTTTATTATGAGAGGGTGGTTTGATTTGTATTCATAATTGTGTAAGTTGAGCCCCATATCTCTTTACCAAATTCACCGCCCCCTCCCTCCCTCCCTCGACTGTCACTTTCTATATTGCCATTATATCAATAAGAGTCATTTCTTGATAAGGCAGGGGTTGTTATTGCAGCTGTTAATATGGTTAATGACGAATGCCAAGTGTTCTCTGAAAAAGGGATGCGAAGACTTTTCTCCAATGTTTAAAAATTGAGATCAGTGCAATTTTTTTCTGCTGATCATTCTGTCAAAGCTCACTGTGATGAACAGTGATACATTTTATCGAGAAGTCCAGTATAAGTTTTGTTAAAGAGTACATTTAGGCCTTAGTTTTATTGCGTAGAGAAAAGGGTCTCTTTCTAGAGTACGAATACCCTAAGTTATATAATTGAGAAGATTAGAGTGTTTGCTTAATTGAACGAGGTTTGGATTTTTTTTTACCACGTCCCATTGTGAAATGATTTTGATATTGTATTATGATGACTTTAATGTTTAATATATTATTATTTTTTAAGACGCCACTTGAAATTCTGATTCTTTGTCTAAAACACAAAGACAAAGCAGAATTACGGCTGACGACATCCCAATGGACAACCTTGTCATCGGAGTGAACTTAGACAGAATTCTACCACATCTCCGCCTCAAGATCCTTAAAGATACTACACTAGTCATGATCCCCATCGGGCTTTAGCGCGATAGGGTACCAGTCTAGACACAAAACGTGACAAAGTTGTTATTTCAGCTGCGCATGAATGTTTTATTATTTTAACATTAAAGTAGATCGAATCTCGTGAAAGAAAAAAAATAAAGAAAAGTGCATGTGCTTCTGGCACCTAAAAGCCACGATATTCCCCAAGACGTGACCTAATTGAGTGTTTAGTGAGTGAATTTGTCAACCTGGGGAAAGAGATTGTTTGTTTCAAATTTCAAATGGAATTTCAGACGTTCTAGTCTTTCGAACCAGATAACATGCGTTATTCAACTGTTGTCGTGCGTCGTTAAAACAAAGACAATGCGACCTTTTTCGAAATAAAATGATTAACTGTGTAGTAATTTTTATAGTTTCATACTATTAATTAAATGTAATGTTAACTGTTATTGTATAATTGTTTTAAATGGGGGCACGCTACAAGAGTCCTATCTCGCACCCCGGGGCAACGTGTCTGACACGGCCGGTTGTAGCAACTACTCCGAAGATCAAGATTACATTAATCTTGATCTAAGGAGACACGAACGAACGATCAAGTTTAAACACGAGCAATGAGAGGTTTGAAATAATTATGCACATTTTAGAAACAAAAAACGCACTCTCATATCATAGACACAGAGCTGATATTTTTTCTATTAACTGTCGATTGTATTTGTATAAAAAATCCATCAAGGTAATACAATTTACTTCTATGGGACTTGTTATGGGCTTGTGCGTAAAGCCCATCAAAGCACCGCACACAAAACGACCCGCCTATTGCGATCCGATTTTCGAAGAAAATAAACTTGTATTATTATGGAAATCTTAACAAATATCACCTTCCGAATTTAGGTTCTAAATAATGAGAAGAAGAATGCCAACAACCGGAATTTGTGTGTAATTTAGCCTTTTAGTCGGAATTAGAGCCAAATCAGCCTCAAATCGTAAACAGTCTCACTGTGCCAGTTTGACGTCAGGAGAATTCTGAACCGATTTGGCTTTTCCTCTGTCACAGAATTGTAAAATCCCTTAGAATTTATATTTGTTAATCAAATGACCATTGAGATCCTCGATCATTAAGGTGTTACATGTTCGAATGTTCATATCAAATGCAATTGCAAATTCTTTCAAAATCGGATCGTACTCTGGTCGTTTAGTGTCGTTTGGGCCTAACTATCTAGATTAATGTCATTGAAAGACGCAATCTGCGGTACTGGTTCTGAATTAGAAGAAAAAAACAGTCATGCATGTATTTAAACTGCAATGAACTACTGGTGGTCTTAACCCTTTTTCTTGTGTTTTACCATAAGCTAAAACACCATTGTACCAACGGGATACATGGTACCAATCGTACAAATCATGTTTTATATGTTCGAGATTGAACACACTTTCAATTTTCTTGAATTTTTGATTAACCAGAGTAAACACAACTTTTATTTTACAAATGTTTGTATCTTTGTCTTTATAGATTAAACAATTTGGAGGAGCCACCATCAAGACCACATTACCAAAAATGGGGCGTATCACCATAGCAACCACGTTCCTCTTCCTCATCATCACTACATCCTCTGTGCTAGCACGCCCTCACATCCGACCCCGTATCACCTTAGCCGATCTGGACAAAGATGGCGCTATACCACAAGACAATGTCGCTGATATTGACAGACCTGTCGATGAAATACCACAAGACGTGCGTTTTGAAGTCGTAGATCTGCCGTCGCATTTCGAAACGTATGATAAGAACAGCGATGGGAAGGTCAGTCTTCTTGAGCTGACCATCGTAACGGGAACCAAAGAGATAGACGCCATGGGACCTTTCCAAGCAGCAGATACAAACAGTGAGTGAATTCAACATTAAAATTGGAGCCAATGAAGCTAGATATTTCTCCCAAAGAAGGGCGCATGGGGGGGGGGGGGGGTGGGGGGGGGGGGTGGTTACAACACATGCTTCTGCGACAAATACTCCGCGGTAATTTCTGACACTAACTGAATTCCTATCTTCAACCTTGGACCCAACACTCTACCTAAACCTTTCCCTGAGTTTGACTTTAACCTTAACACTAAACCTGTGGTTTTGACGAAATAATGACTAGAGCAGGGAAAGTGTCAACCCTGTCCGTGACCATAGATCTATTGTCGCTGGAGCAAATGTCGGATTGCTGGCATCGGGAGGGGGGGGGGGGTGGTTACTTGAAAGAGAGTTAGAGAAAATGACATGGAGATGGAGATAGGGCATATGAGAAAAAAAATGACACGTGACGTCATATAAACCCAATGACTTGATAAGAAAGAAATGAAATAGAAAAGAAAAAGAGGATGGGGGGGGGGTAAGGGAAACATGAAATTGATATCACCCCTTTGAATACCATACCCTCACTCTTTGGCCTTATTTTCCTCACATTTCATTCACTCGTTATTTTCCGAATCCCCCCCCCCCCCCCTCCCTCATTTCACCCGTCATTGTTTGCGGGCCCGAAAATTGAAAATTTGTAAGAAGGAAATTATTAGCGAAGGGTGGTAAGGGTACATCGCCACTGGCCCTTATGTTTATTGTTTATCTCCAGGGAATACGCCATTCGGTATGCGTGCAAGGCCATGCATTATCATCACCCTTCCCCCTAAATTCAAATTCTCGCGCAAACAAAAATGATGCCCTTTGTTAAGGTGATGGCTTATGGGTTTTCCATCTTCTATATGCATTGGCGCGGAATCAGCCAAAACAAAGACACTCACCTACCAAACCAACCACGTAACCAAATGTGACAAAGGTTAAATCTCATTTCCAGATGTCACCGACAAATGGAGAAATTAATAATGAAATATTTGCAATTACGGAACCTCATAACACGTTAGTCTGACGAATGGCATTCTGCGGGGTTGCAGAACATTACCACATTTGTATCTGGACTTGATGCCCATGTGGCGATTCGGATATTAATGAAATTACTCCCCCGCCAGTCATGGCCCAGTTAAACAAGCTTTGACTAAACGGGGGCGTCTGGGCTAAGTTTTGCGAACAAGGTCGGGCCATGCATGGCCATTGCTAAAAAGAACTGGATGTATCATTTTTATTTTAGTTAGACAATATATATCTAAAAACAAGTAAACAGAATAAACAAACGCAAATTCCTCAATTAATAAATAATGAATAAATTCACCAGCCAAAACTGTCAGACTTTTTGGATGGGACAGGGGTGATAGAGAGAGAGGGAGAGACAGAGACAGAGACGGGTACGCAGAAAGAGAAAACATACATCGATTTTAATTGAAATTAGAAACGAGTCTCTCTCTCAAAAAAAAAATCCCTTCAGGGAATTTGTACAAGAGCTCGGGGGGGGGGGGGGGGTGGCTGAGGTGAAGGGATAAAGATCCACCCCCTTGCCTCCCTCTCCCCTCTGTCCTACTCCCCCTTCACCGTGTTGTGACATTGCCTCCCCACACTCGGACTCTATAACTCTCAGAAATTATCATACACCTGTAGAGATATTTCACTTTTCAGAAAGGTGCACTATGATCGACAATACACTCACTTGTACAGACATTTGATATTTAGGGAAGGTGGATCTATGGTACAGAGATTACAGGCGAGGAAAAGAGGGGGACGGCTCTATAAATAGGAACTGCTAAATGACAATGTATTTCACAGCCAGTGCAACCAATAGAGATTAAAACATTGACGTTAAATATAGAATACTGCCGATCAGTAGGCAAGGCTTTGAGGTAAAATACAGGACTGTGTTGAAATGGAATGAGGGGTTCAAGAAGAGTAGATTAATTATGGATGGATTTGTACTGAATCTATGAAAGAGATACAGCTTTCTTGATAGGTGATGTTCATACCCCTTTGATTACGTTTCTCAGCGTCTTTATCATAGTACGAAAGGGGGAGATTTTGAGAGTTAGAGAGAGGGAGAGAGAGAAAGAGAGAGTTAGAGAGAGAGAGAGAGAGAGAGAGAGAATGACAGAGACAGGCACATTTTGATGGGGAAAAGAGACACACAGACAATTAGTAGTGATGTATTAGATGCATTTAACATCTTTAATATTTCTGTTCCTAAATGTTTCAAACATTCACTTGGATTTCTCCTTCGTTTTCCTTTTATTCTCTCTGTAGATGACAACAAATTATCCTTTAAAGAATTCCAGGAAGCACCCTGGATCTTTGGTGTGTCACAAGAAATCGAATTCCTCAACCAGTTCGCTCGCTAGTTCGTTGAAAAAAAGAAGATTGACTTGGATGTAGCCCATCATCGAAAAAGAGAATTAGCTGCAACATGGGGTCAACGTACTTTATCCCTCTGTACGATAAGATTTGCTATTTGGAAATGGAACTATGCCAGTAGAGCTTCCTAAATAGAATCGAATAAAATAAGATACAAAAGTAAAAACGACTGTGAATATTTACTACTTTCAAAATGGAGAGAGCTCTCGAGTAGTGATGTTAATATCTATCTATCAGACGAAGGAGTTATTACACTAACTCCTTGGTCAGAAAGCTGCCCCATGCATCATTATTTCTGGACAAGTTCTACTTCCATACATCACCACAGTGACCACTGCCCCTGAGTCAATAGTCCCTGAGTCAACTTCCCCTAGTGTAAACATGGGGTTAATGGGGTTAACTTTTCGATAATATTCTGGGGTTGGTTGTCCAGTGTGGGTATGATTGACTGTGTGGTAGTTGTCCGGGGGGGGGGGGGTAAATGTTCGGGGATAGTTGTCCGGAAGTAGTTATCTTGGAGTAGTTGGCTGGTGTGTAGTTGTGTGGGGAGGTCATTTTCTCTTGGATGTTTTTATTTTCTGGAAGTTTCTTTGGGCAGTGGATAATCAAAGGGTAGTCTTTTATATATTGCATAAGACAAATACAAAGAAAACTAGGATTTATTGATATCAATCTTACAACAATATTTGTAATATTATTAAAACAGAAGGTTTCATAACAGTTAAGAAGTGGTTTTTTCCTCGCAATTTTCATGATGTTATATTATTATGTTGTATGGAAAAGATGCCTATTCATGTAAGTAGACCGGGAAAAAAAAGAGCATTTAATAGCAAAACCTAAAAGGCAGTAAAGTACTTATAGGACAATGGGACTGCCATTATCCTATTATATTTAATTATAACGCTGCTCAACCAAGGTGCCTATTATTTATTTAAAAAATCAGTAGTATATAAATATTTTTATTTTATCCTTTCATGGGATAATTAATATGATCAGTCCATGTTGCATTGTAAATAACATGATTCCTTCTAAATGCCTGTGAATAATTATTATCAAGGTTGAACTAAATGTGTGTGTGTAAGCTCTGGTAAGGATTCAAAAACGTAAATTTGTAGTTTAATTTTTTGTTTACCTTTTGAAATGTGAAACTGTATCGCTTCTTAGATTATGCAAGTCCTTAAATAGAAATAAAGACTTTTACAAAACTTTCTCTGTTTTATTTATAGAACGGCATAATGATTACAGGATACAACTCTCCAATATTCATATTATATCTCCCCTTTACATAAAGGTATATTAACTGCTATTTTGGCAATTCAATTTTGCCAGTAATCCGAAGAGCTATGCTATTACATATTTCATCTTTTCTGAGATGTCAGAAGTACCCACTTAATACACAGCGTAAGTCAAAAATTAAAGTACAGGTAACAAAAAGATTTATGCTACATTTAAATTGGCTCACTTTGTAGTGATCGCAAAAGCAGTAAAAAAGGTCCTGAATGAACGTGTTGAGAATATTCACTACGAATCTATAATCACGAAACAATTTCCTTTAGTCCGAATAAATAAGGCAAAATAAATTGGATATTTGATCACGATTTACCAATAAATGGACACAGACGCATTTCTCTGTGGAAAGATTAATGTAATCCTGTTGTAATGAATTCACGTAAATGCTGACATATTTATTCTCGATCATGAAAGGGATCCGCTAATTATTACTGCATTAACTGTTCATGTATATATTAGGAGCATCAAATATGATTAAAGTTGTGCTTACATGTTTTTTGTTACTTGAAAGATAAAGTGGTCCTGTGTCCTGCTTTTGAATGGTGAGACTACTGACCGTTGCATTGTGTAGTTTATACAGTGTGGGGAATCGGAGTGTGTTGATGGGTGCTGGTGTTTTGGGGGGTGTGTGGGTGTGTTGGGGATGGGTGAGTGTCTCTTTTCATAAACACTTTTAAATAGAAGCATGACCATACAAGAAAATTACAATTGAAAACATATCTCATATTAACATTAATTTCATTTGTCTTTTCGTTCACCTTCATCTTTCTGAAAGTCAAATACATTCAATTAAACGTATTCAATAATGACAGGTCATTTTAGTTTGTATTTCTTGAATACCAGAAATAAACATTAAATATGGGGAGGCAGTATTTTTTTAAATTATTTTCACCATAATTACATACACCATCACAACGTAATGATAGATTCGCTAATAAGAGTTATGTCAACATTTCCATTTTCATTCGTTCATGATTGATTAAATAGATTACATGAAGGAGAAATTTATGAAATTATTTACACGCGCAACATGTCACAAAATGTCAAACAATCATTTATGACGTAAGGAGTAGGGCCTATTTCTGTTCTTATTTTTCTAGTTTCCTATACTTAAATCTTGTTGGCTGCGCTGCGTACCAATCATAAATGATATCCCTCTATCAAATCTAATAATTGAAAAATGCTCCACGGGTATAAATCCATGTAATGACCGATTTGAGAGATCGGAAATCCACTCTAATTGCTGAGTGCAATGTGGGAGCAGACAGCCAAACTAGGTTAGACGAAACAGTGTTTGTAATTTTCCCGGATCGCAGACGGGGTTTTAGGAGTTTTATCGAGGCGAAAAACGCGGGAAACAGGTCGGGTGGAAGAATATGCCATTTTAGAAGCATTAAATCGAATCAACGCTTTGGAGACCGCCGCTTTTCTTGATCATCAATTTTGTATGACACAGCTTGTCAAGACCTGAATGTGTTATTGAATCATTAATCATGTTGATGTGCATCGACGGAGTTAAAGTGAAACTGGTGGGGGGCCAATATTGACGGAGAAATTTCTTTTACGGATTTTAAAACCATTTTTATACAGTAATAGACAGTGGATCCACTCACGGAACGATCACTTTTTCATGAAATAAAGTAAATATTGGACTAAACTGCGGCACTCGTTTTTAGCACTCTTAAATATTAAGGTAGAGCTCCTACACAAAATTGTCCTCGTTCTCGTGGAAACCATTTTTTTCGTTGCCAGAGTGACAATTATTTGCACAAGCTATGGTAGAAAAAGATCAAATTCATAGAGAAAAAATCCAGTTTGGCCCAAGTAATAGTGATGAATTTATACCACATGCTGGTCATAAGCCCTTTCATCCCATCTCATCTTTTGCTCTGCTGTACATTTTACATCAAAAATATCATAGGCCCCTTTTGTCATATTTTGATTGGAATGTGACACAATGAATGAGATTTCACTTCAGATTTCAATGTCATGATAGTATTATAAAGGATCGTATTTTAGTCAACTACAAGGTTGCCACCCGCTCTTAATGCCTTCGATATGCGCTAACCTACCAGCCCCCCCCCCCCCCTCCCTCATGCCAGTAATTATTTGAGCAATGATGCGAAGTATTTGAATAGCTAGTTGTTTGGCCAGAGATGATAGGGGCGTTTCATGGCGTATTATAATTTGTCATAGTTGTGTCCCTTGAGTTTTTGGGAACACACAAAATTCACGATGATTCATTGATGGTAATTACTGTAACGGTTTAACATGAGAGTATGTGCTCCTTGTTGACATTCTAATAGTGGTCATCGGCGTCAGTTATGTGTGTTTTTTGCTGCTACTTTTTCTGCTCTCTCTCTCTCTCTCTCTCTCTCTCTCTGTCTGTCTCTCTCTGTCTGTCTGTCTCTCTCTCCCTCTCTCTCTCTATCTCCCTTCACCCTCTCTCTATCTCTCTCGTTAATTATAGAACCTCATCCAGTGATGACCAGTGATAGGAAGCATTTCTTTATTCCCAGATGAATTGCAGAGTCTTTGAACTTTCGCTTACTTATCCAAGTATTTTTGCTTTCGGGCACCAATATATCGAGAACACGATGAACAGGAATCTTAGTATCAATTACGTCCTCTCTTGCTCTTGCTCTTCCGGTCACTCGCATCTCATTAAAAGTTATTACATTACCCGACAAAATGTCATATTCACGAATAGATGCAGACGACTAGCTCAAGTTCAGTACAAGTCCACAAGACCGAAAACGTTGGTATTTAGAACCTCCAGGAAACTTGTCAGATGTATCGTCAAGACGCGTCGGTCTCATGAACAGTCAGATAAATTGTCAGACTGCCCGAGAGACCGGCATGATCGTTATTGTAGGATGTCGAGGTGCCATTGCAGGCCATGAGACAGCCAGGCTAACGTGACCGACATAATCAAACTCAGGGGGTCTCTCGAAGTTATGCAATTAGTGTTCGCGAGACCGACGACCCACAGGACAGACAGCCCGCAAGATTGAAACGTCGGTCTCGGTTTCGGACATCTTTGCGGAGATTACACGAGACCTATCACGTCTGTCTCGTGGGCTCTCGGTCTCGTAAACTGTCGATTTACTGGAATGTACACCTTGAACCTCTGGAAAGACCAGATGTCTATGTCTTCACCCCGACACAACTGTGCATTATTCTTCGCACTTTCAGCTCCCAACGGAACAAAACCAGACTAAAATCCATGACTAAAACCTGATAGAATTATTTATTGCTCCAGATACTCGTGTTACAGACGAGAAATGGGATCGAGTGGGATGGTACCCAATTAGTGTGACGATTGATTCCCTGATTAGTCGCAAGCTGGGAAGCCTTTTGCTTTTGTAGACTATTGTTTGTAATTATTCAAGAAAAATGAGGACGGGCATATGGTCCTGACTACGGTGAAGTAATTAAAATATTTATGATGAAGGTGTATTGCTGATTGCATTACCACTCCTTTTCATATTGGACATCAGCTGAATCGACTGACATTGTATAGGTATAAAGACGTCGGCAATAGGCCTTCGGATGGTTCCACGGAAGATGTATACTCTTTTATATATTCCTTTAATTGCCTTTTCTTTAATTATTGATATCCAACAAAACGTTGTTTCGTAGTATATTAATATAGTTAGCCACGGACAAACTAGCTACCATCCACTCATATTAATGAGTTGAAAAGTTTGTAAAAAAGGTAATGAGCATTTCAGTCACTAAAAGCTAATGCACATGATTTTGCATAAAACAGCAGTTAAAGATTTAGGATCTCTTTTTGGAAGTGATCACAAATCAGAAACAAAATAGTAGAAAAAAAGGAGAAATTTTGTTTTGTGGGGAGGGGTAAACCCACGTACCCCCTTTTGAAAACTACGTTTCCTCTTCCTCATGAATTAGTCGATATTTTTTGCAGCTCAGTCTTGAGTTTCTTTTACCAATACCTTTCTTTTATTAGGTAAACTATAATAAAATCAAACTATCGGTTAAAACTACTGTACTATCGAATTTTAATTCGATTTCAAAATAGTAAGTTGAGAATATGATCCAACACTTAGTTACTCGACCTAATAATGCTTCTGAGACTAAAAGGATGTAGCTTATGAGACAATTGACAAGTTCTCGTGTCATGAACACGCCGCTAGAAATCCAATTTCAAACACTTCAGCAATTACCTCATTATTAAGGACACGTCCAAGTGATAGCTATTCCATTCCCTGGAGTGGACTAATCCGACTAACAGAGAACGAGCCACAAAAGGAATAATCATCCGACTCAGATGTTGACAAATTGTGATAAATGAGGATCGAGATTGTCCAGGATTCGGGGACATTGTGATTTTCGTGTTATTGTAGACAGTGGCAGATTTAGGGGCACACAACCGACGGGTGCCCCCTCACTCTTCAGGAAACCCAAATGACATACTATACTTCCGGCTGCTTTCGGTACACACATCAAAAACTGTGCCCCCACTTTTTTTTAATGGAGCAGGCGGCTTTTGTCCCCCTTCTTCTTATTCCTCCTTTTTCCTCTCTATTCACAAAATTGTACTAGAAGCATCGAAAAATGACGCTGACCTTTTATTTGCTCGTCAGCAAATTTAAGACTGTTGTGCCCCCTCTTTTACAAAATCCTGAATCAATGAAGGGCTGATTGTAGAGTCCTTCATCATGTTCATTAACTGCCTCTCAAAGGATTACCAAGATGGTCGGATGCGCTGCAAAGAACTTGATGTATTTATTGTTCTATCAACACCCACCTTTTCAGTCCCATTTCTGTTCGATTAGGTTGTAAGTGAATGCACTTATTCAAAGTTCAGTTTGAGAAAGGTGTATTGGGAAAGGTGTCAGCTAGAATTGAATTTGTTATATTTTTTTAGGATTACGAAGAAAGTTTGATTCCTCCTTATAAAAGAAAAAATCAAGCTAGCAAAATCATGTTTGATTGAAAGGGGGATAACAAATATATTGAAGACGACTTATCATAAAAGGATCTTGATATTTACAGTTCAATGTATGGGTTACTTAAGGGGTCTGTGTGGGACAAACTATTTTTTTCTAATAACTAATTTGCAGTTTTCAAAGGCTGTCGATCAGCAAATCGCAAAATTATATTTTTATATCGCTTGCTGGAAAATGTATCTATCATGCCCGCGCCCCACCACCAAATGGTCTAGTAATGCCCCTGGTAAATGTGTTTGTTAGGATGATAAAATCGGAGGACAAAAATGATGTCAATCACTTACAAACAATTAGAAAATGTAAGATAAAGCATTAAAATATTGTTATAAACTGAATTAAGACGTTAAGAAAATGTACTAGAGTTTAACTAAGAAAATTTGTGATAAGAATATTAAAATACGTAGGCCTACCAGGTATCCACAAGCAGAATCATAACAAATCACAATTTGATTATGATACCTTTTGGAAAGAAAATTCTGAAATTTAATGAACTGGATCAAATAAAATAAACATATCAATTTGGCTATCTAA